AAGATGAGAGAGGGCCAGTCCTGCCAGCACTACGTATAATGCTTGCTGTACTCCTGACCTGCAAAGACAGATAATATCTGCAGACAACTAAGTGGGACCGGTGGCGACAGATGATAAGGGACAACCAGTGTGACCAACCAGGCCCCACAGGGCTCCTGAAGAGATGGCGCCATCTCTCACCAGGGTAATGGGAAAACTCGAGAGAAGAGGTAGCATTTTAGCCAGGCCCTGTTGCAATCACTGCCACTAATAACAACTAATTCCTTCCTTATCGGGAGTCTGATAAGTCGCTTCATTTACCTGGAAAGGGTACTTATTAAGCAACTGCCTCAAGGTCCACAGCTAATAAGCACAAGGCTGAGCTAGATCTCAACCCTGTCTCCAAGCCAGGGGTATCACCCACATTGTCCCTAAGTCCCTCATTTGTTCTGAGCCAGAGGGTCACAAAAGCCTTCCCTCTGGAAGGAACCCAGTTCTAGCCTCTGGTAGAGAAACACAGAACACAGCAGAGGAAACCAGTGTGTATGCTTCTGACAGCCTGAAGGACCCCACATGAGCCACCCGAAGGAATGGGTAGAATTTTGCTGCTGCATATAAAGACACAGATTCAACTTCTGAAGAATTCACTTCCTTCAGGAAACAGGAGGTCTAATGGGGCAGTGCTGGACTAGAGGGAGGGGAAGTCCTAACATAGGGGAATAATGCATGCTTAGCATATACAAAACCTCTATTTAATCCACAGCATGTGTACACACACACATCCCCCACAATTTCAGGCACACTGAGATAGTCCAGTTGTCCTAGAGGGGTGGGGGAATGTAATGGAGCCAGAAGGAAGGAGAGACAGTATAAGGGTCTTGAACATGGCTGCAGGGTCCATGGCATGATCTGTGTATAAGGGAAGCCTGGGTAGGTTTAAATGTGATAGTCACAGCACCAAGGAAGGAAAACAACCCTCAAGTCAATCTGAGGTATGAGCTGGAGATGAGAATTCCAGAACCACGTGATAACGTCCAAAAAAAGTGTAGGTAAGTATTGGTGACCTCTTCCATCCAGGTCAGTCACTGTCACTAAGCTCCCTGGCTAATACGTAGCCAATAAGCCTTCTGTCAGGATAGCCACCTTAATTAAGATTTAATTAAGGCAGAGGAGTCAATCCTCTGTCAGTGTTCATCCACCCTGTCACCAAAACTTCAAAGCAGGAGTAAAATGATTATTGGTCTAGTTGCACTGTAAAATGCAGCCAGAGTGCGTGTAAACTTCAAAGTGCTTAGAGAACAATGGACCAGGGGCTAGGGTATAGGTCAGCAGGTAGAAGGCCCTGGATTCAACGGAAGGAACAGAGGGAGGGAAGGAGAAAGGAAAAAAGGCATCTTCAAAGACTTCTAATCCTGAGAAGTTAAAGAATGCTTCTAAACCAGTTAAAAATACATAATCTACAAATCAATGTCCCTTCCTTCCACTTCAAAAGCATGGTTAACGTACTTCATTTCAGAGTTTTTTTTTGTTTACCATCAAAGCAGAATTAGAGGGGCTGGACAGATGGCTCAGCAGGTAAAAGTGCTTGCTGCCAAGACTGATCACCTGAACCTGATCTCTGGGACCCATATGAGAGAAAACTGACTCCTGCAAGTTGTCCTCTGATCTGTACACAGAAGCTGTGGCACTCACCTGCACACACGCACATGCACATGCATGCTCACACACACATTAATAATGATAGTAATTACATGGAATTTAAAAATTTAGAAACAGGAACTGGAGAGATAACTAAGTGGTTAAGAGCTCTGGTTGCTCTTGTGGAGGACCAGGTTTGGTTCCCAGCACCCATGTGGTAGCTAACAACCATCCTTAACTTGATTCCCGGGGATCCAACACCCTCTTCTGACCTCCAAGGGCATTGCACAACATGCATGCTTACATATACACAGGCAATATGCTCATACACATAAAATAAAAATAAAATATCCCCCCCAAAGTAAAATATTTTTAAAAAATTTAGAAACAGGAAGAATTAGAAAAATTAAGATCAAATAGTTGACAACCTTAGCATGTCACTTCACAAGGAGACAACACACCAGAAATATAGAAATGATATGAGCCGCCGGGCATGGTGACACATGCCTTTAATCCCAGCCACTTGGGCAGCAAAGGCAGGCATCTCTCTGGGAGTTCAAGGCCAGCCTGGTCTACACAGTGAGTTCCAGGTCAGCTGGGGCTACAGAGAGACCGTGTCTCAAAAAGACCACACAAAAAAGGGACAACTTGTCTTCAACACACATATTAAACTCAACTCAATAGAACTAGGTGACTTCTTAGCCCACTTTCTCCAATAGGCCATTGAGACAAAGAGTAAACAGGGAGGAAGGTATTAAGCAGCAGTTCAACGTGGCTCCAGTAGCCCATCCGTGCACGCCTGACCCTTGTCCTCTTTGTGCATAGCTACCATCTAACCAGTCTTCACAGAGCCCCACATAGCCTCTCTGGTTTCCTTGTTAGCGTGTGTGCAGGACACTTCCCCTCTACAGCACATGTTCTAACACTCACAAATCTTAAAATTTTGTTCCCTACTAGAGTCAAACCCCTCCAAGAAAGGATCTTTATCAACGAATCCTTTGAGCTCTTAGGATGAAGTGTTTGCCAATAAAACAAATGTGATCTAAGCTGTCATGAAGAAACAGCAATGATGGCCCTGCTCTACCCCACTGTCTGCTCTACTTGGAGAACTCTGTAATCAGGGATGAGGGGACTTTAAACTGAATTGATTACTGGGGGGTGATTGGTGTGAAGCAAATGTCTCTGAAGAAACACCAGGACAATTTTCAAACACACAAGAACCAATCAGGAGACTAGCCTTTCTTTCCCTTTGGTAAGCAGAGTGTAGGGATAGAGCCAGCATCTGGCAGAAGTTTCTATGATTAGCACTGTTTGGGCTGGGTATATAGCTCAACTGTAGAGCTATATAAATTGTAGAGTGCCTGACATGCACAAAACCCTGAGTTCCACCCTCAGCACCACATAAACTGGGCATTTGGCACGTGCCTGTAATCCCAGCACTTGGGAAGTGGAAGCAGGAAGACCAGACGTTCAGGGCCAGCCTGAGCTATTGTAGCAAGTTTGAGGCCAGCTTGGGCTACATGAGACCCTGTCTGTTTGACAACAGATGTGATGATGCAAGCCTGTAAGCCCAGTACTGGGAAGGTTGAGGAAGGAGAATTTCCCTGAGTTCAAGGCCAGCATGGGAGCTGGAGAAATGATTCAGTGGTTAAGAGCACTGGGTGCTCTTGAAGAAGACTGGGGTTTGGATCCTAGCAACCACATGGCAGCTAACAACTGTCTGTAATTCCAATTCCATGGGACCCAACATCCTTTTTTGGCCTCCATGGGCATTGCACATCATGGATGCACATGCATGCAAACACTCATACACGTGAATTTTTTTTTTTATTTTTTTAAATCAAGGCCAGCATGGGCTATATATTTAGTAAGTACAAGGCCAGCCTGAACTACGTAGCCAGACCCTGTCAATCCTCTGCCCCCAAAATCAACTGTGTATAAGAAAAAGCATATCAGTGAAGATACCTCTGAACTGTAACCAACAGAATGTGGTCAGTATGGGAAGAAGGAAAAAATTGTCACCAACAGGAAGGTAACTTCTGGCCAAAGGCCTCTGTCCTTCCCACAGAGTTAACACTGCTATCATTAGTACTGGGACACCCAGAACATACTTCGCTGAACAAATCCAGTCGTTAAGCAGTACAGACCAGAAACACCAGAGAACTTTGATTCATCTTACCTTCACCCCTGCATTCCCTCAGCAAGTCTAGTCAACCCTGCTTTTCAAGCACATCCCACACAAACCACTACATAACACTGCCATTGCTAACTCTCAGTCCACTCAGCCATCATCTCCTGACCTTTCTTGCTAATTTTCTGGCTACATTCCTGCCCATCCCTGACCAGACTATTCTCAAAAACTGAAGCTAAAATAACGTTAAAACATATATATCACCAGGCGTGGTGGCACCTTTAATCCCAGCACTTGGGAGGCAGAGGCAGGTGGATCTCTGTGAGTTCAAGGCCAACCTGGTCTATATAGTGAGTTCCAGGCCAGCTGGGGCTAGAGAGACCCTCTCACAAAGACAAACAAAACAGAAACTAAACATCTCTCCTTGTACAAACCTCACCAGTGGCTTTTCCAATCCTTAGTATAAGAACTAAACGCCTAGCTGGATGTGGTGGCGCACAAGGGAGGCAAAAACAGAAGGATCAGGAGTTCAAGGCTAGCCTCTGCTACATAGCAAGTTTGAGATCAACATGGGCTACAAGTGACCCTGTCTCAAACAAGAAAGATTCTCAGACTGGAAAGATGGCTCAGCAGTTAAGAGCGCTTGCTGCTCTTGCAGAAGACTGGAGTTGGTTCCTACCACCCACACTGGATGGGTCACAACTGCCTGTAACACCGGACTGGAAAGATGGCTCACTGTTAAGAGCACTGGCTAAAGAGGATCCGGGTTCGATTCCAGCACCCAGCTGGTGGCTAACTGCCTGTAACTTCAGTTCCAGGGGACTCCAACGCCCTCTTCTGACCTCCATGGGCACTGCACAATGGGGATGCACTTACACTCACGCAAGCAATACACTCCATACACATTAAATAAAAATAAAAATAAATTTAAAAAAAAAAAAAAAGCAACTGCCTGTAACTCCAGCTCCAAGGGATCTGACGTGGAGGGCACCTGTACTCATATGTCCATACCCACTGACAGGCAGACATGCAACACATACATATATTTAAGAAAAATAATAAAACTAAACCTACAAGTAGATTCCAATTCCTGGGGCTGCGGATGAAGCTCTGTGGTAAATTGCTTGCCTAGAATGCACAGGCCCTGTGCATCCCCAGTACTACACCTACACCTACACCTACACACACACACACCTACACACACACACACACACCTACACACACACACACGCCACAAATCCATACTCCTTACCATTGCAAGCTCCAGCCCTGGCCCGTTCCACTCACAGAAGTCCTTCCTGTCCCTCGACCCCTCCATTGCTAAGCCGGCTCTTCAGGGATTTCCTGCCTGCAGTGTCAGCCCCCAGATCTATGCAAATGTCCCCCCTGGACAAGAGACTGCCTGATCACCATCTACTTGCACACGAGCTGCTTCGTCATTTCTGCCTCCATCCCTGAGTTCCTCTCTGAGCATGCGCAGCACACGCCTCTCCCGCGGGTTCCCAGCGACAGAGCCAGGCCAGGACCAGTCCCGAGCTGTCGCCGGAGCCTGGAGTGCTGGGCCCCCAGGCTCCACCGGCCAATCGGGTCCGCACCTTCCTCCAGAGGCTCCAGGCCCTTCCCATAGCTGACCAGGTCCTCATCGCTGTCACTGTCCAACGCCGCCATTCCGCTCGCTTCCGGGCTCCGCCCCCTCGCTACGGGAGCCTCGAAGGGCCAGAAGCCTTCTCGCGTTCTAGTCCACAAACTGGGGTGCTGCTCTGAGAATGAATTCCCAGCCCTGGGGAAAACACCATGCCACCTCTGGCCCTTGACTCTTAGAAAAGTAGGCCCTGGCCGGGAGTGGTGGCGCACGCCTTTAATCCCAGCACTCGGAAGGCAGAGGCAGACTGATCTCTGTGAGTTCAAGGCCAGCCTGGTCTATGAGTTCCAGGACAGCTGGGGCTACAGGGAGACCCTGTCTCAAAAAGACCAAAAAAAAAAAATTATTTTTGACAATGTCATACCATATTTAGCCCCATTGCCCTCTCTTGTCCCCCTCCCACTCCTTCTCTCACTCTTTTTTTCTATCCACACAGGTCTTGTTCCTAGCCCCAGCTGCTGTGAGTCAGTTAATGCAAGGCCTTATCTAGTACACAGCATTTAATAGCACTCCTCCCATTCTCCAGCTCTTACAGTCTTTCCACCCTCTCTCCCATGGTGTTCCCTGGGCCTTGGTGGGAATAACATAGATGCTCCATTTAAGGCTGAGCACTCAGTACTTTGGCCAGTTATGAATCAATATATTAACCATAGTCCACTATAAAAAGAAGATTCTCAAGCCTTAAGTCCCAGCATTCAGGAGGCAGAGGCAGGCAGATCTCTGTGAGTTCAAGGCCAGCCTGCTCTACATAGCAATTTCCAGGCCAACTAGGGCTAAAGAGAGACCCTGTCTCAAAAAGACCAAAAATTTTTAAATTAAAAAATATATGTGAAGCCTGAAATTCTGAAACTGTTAGAAGAAAACATTGGCAGTAACCTACAAGATATAGGTGTAGGAAAGATTTTCTAAATCAGACATCAATTGCTCGGGAAACAGGTCAACAATCAACAAATGGGACCTCATTAAACTAAAAAGCTTCTGTACATCAAAAGAAGCAACTAAGGAAGTAAAGCAAAAACCCACAGAATGGGAGAAAATCTTCACCAGCAACACATCTGACAGGTTTAATATCCAGAATATATAATGAACTCAAGACAGGAAGTAACCCAATTAAAAGATGGGCTAAGGCGAGCTGAACAGAGTTCTCAAAAGAAGTAAAGATGGCTAAGAAGCATGTTAAAAGATGTTCAGGGCTGGAGAGATGGCTCAGCGGTTAAGAACACTGGTTGTTCTTGCAGAAGACCCAGGTTAGAATCCCAGCACCCATATGGCAGCTAACAACTGTCCATAACTCCAGTTCCAGGGGATCAGACAGCCTCTTCTGTCCTCCGCGGGCATTGCACAACACAGGGGCACTTACCTACATGCAGGCAATACACGCATACACATAAAATAAAATTAAAATTAAAATAAATAAAAATAAAAATAT